CTAATTTCTCGAACAAATCTTCTCTTTGCCAGGTTTTTTCTTACACAATTGATACTAATTATCTAAATTGGATATTTCTTTTTTATTTGTAAATTGTGAAAATTTTAATTAATTGTTATAAATTTGTTATTGTGAATAGCAAAATAGGAAATTGAATTTGTTTATTTATTTTGTAAGATTGTGATTTGTGAATATGTTAATATAGTTTGGTTATGTACTTATGGTCTTATGTACTTATATTTTAAGTTTATAATGTTTTTAATTATTTAAATTTCAATATAGGATGCAAAAGTATTTTAAAAAGGCACCAATATTTAAAGAGAAAGAATCGAGTGAGAATCTATCAAATTTGAACGCAAATACTTTGTCATGTTTAAATCATCCACCGGAAACATCAAATTTGAATCCAAATATATCATCATCTTTGGATTTTGAATCATTAGAGGCTGATCCGGGACTAAGAAAGATAATTATGGATTATCATCCAAATGTACAAGATGAAATTCGTTGTTCTTATATGAAAAAGGGTCCCTTTCAACCTAAAGCTCATAAGTTTCTTGTTATAGTAATGTCAGATTATGAATTTGTGAAGTTTGTGAAGAATGAAGTTCGAAACAAAATTCGTGACCAATGGTTAAATGATTGAATTGTCTAGTGACATATATTAAAAGGGATGTCTTTGCTAGTATTAGCAATGATAAAATAATAAATCACTTTCAAAATATGATAACTAGACGTTATCAATTGTAAGATGTATTTCACATTTGCAATGTAGAACTATTTTTAATTAGTATTTTCAATAATATATACGTAGTATAAACTTTAATGTATATGTATTATAAATTTTCTAGGTGCGACCCCATGGTATAAATGTTCTGGGTCTGCTCCTGTGTATGTATGTATGTATGTTTTATTCCATACATGTTTTTTTTTAAAATAAAAGTAGTAGGAAATACCAACATGCAACTTAATCAAAGTCCTGGATCACGTACTGGACCCTTATTACATCTATAAAACATGTCCAATGAATTAAATAAATAATATATGGTCTGTGTTAATTACTTACCTCTCATATTCTTCCAGCATGATGTTAGTGGAGGAATGCTCTGCTCGTTTCTGAAGAAGTTGGAGGGGTCCACGCTGGTCTTAACATGCACTAACCTATCAAAATTATTCTTGAAATATTTGATCCCCCATATGCTCGCTTGTAAATAACTAGTGTTTCCTTCACTATTCATCCCTATGTCAAGGTCTCTATAGTTTATGTACGCCTCTCTTGGGAGCTTGGAAACAAAGAGACCCATGTAAGCATATAGCCTTCTTATCCAACTTATGTGCCTTTCCGAAGCTTCACTCCCCTCTTCATTCCAATACACCAAATGTTGGATTTTGTACAAATTCCCAGCTCTATGAGGGAACGGAATCGATGAGTCGGAGATCTCGTCCATTCTTCCACCGTATGGACTCATGATCATCTGGGCTAGTGTTGCTTCGTCGTCTTCGAAGAATTTCCATATCCCATCTAGTCCTTTCACGGGGATTGATTTCTTCACGTAATCCGATTTTGCTTTGAAGTGTTGTACCGGAGAGAGAGGTGTTCTTCTAAGCAAAACGTCACTCGGTGAACCATTCGGGAACCCTGCAAAGTACAGAACGGATTGGATCCAACTCATTTCGGTGCAGTGTTCCTCCGTTAAGCCCAATGCGGGGAACCTTTCGTGCATGATGGGAAGCAATTGGTCAACTCCGCCGAGATAGATAGAGTTGAAGGAGACTTGAGTTGTCGTTTGGTTTTGCGTAGTAGATGCATTCACTCTTGTTATGTGGACACTAATAAACAACTCCTTGGGGAAGTTTGAAGCGACCGATTGCCATTTGTGGACGAGACTCATGGCGTTTGGCTTTCGTGTCTCTTTGATCGTGAAAACTGTGACGCTTGGGGGCACATCCACCAATTGAACCTTCCATGCAAGAACTACTCCAAAAGTATTGCCCCCACCACCTCTAATAGCCCAAAAAAGGTCTTCCCCCATCAATTTCCTGTCAAGGATTCTCCCGTCTGCGTCAACCAAACGCGCATCAATAATTTGATCCGCCGCGAGACCATATTTTCTCAGCATCACACCGTAGCCTCCTCCGCTAAAATGTCCTCCCACTCCGACAGTAGGACAAGAACCCGCAGGAAAACCGAGGGTTGGACTCTTCTCCGAAACCCTGTAATACAACTCGCCAATGGTTGATCCAGCTCCTACCCAAGCGGTCTTTTCCACAGAATAAACCGTGATGTTTCTCATGTTGAATAGATCAAGAGTGAGGAAGGGATTTCCAAAATCTGTGGTGTAAGACAGCCCTTCGTAGTCATGGCCCCCACCTCGGATTCGAACTTGGATGTCGTGTTCCTTGGCACAACGTATGACCGATTGCACCTCGGATTCTTCCCGCGGGGTGACTATGACCCGAGGTCGTGGCGTCCTCGTCGTGTTGAACCTCAGGTTTTGGATCGAGAACCGCAAAATGGGCAAGTACGAGGAGTTCTTGGGAGTGTACACGTCATTATTGGACATGGAATTATGGGAGATTCTATTGAGACATTCCACGAAGTCTTCCTGGGCGTCGGCCATAATTGGCCAATAGCATGAAAATTGAACAAGTAATGAGAGTAGAAGCCAAAGGAATGCCGCCCTCTTTGCCATATTTATTTTCATCAATTCGGTCGTTTTAAATTCGCATGAAAGAGTTTGGGAATGAAATTTGGTTTGCAATTTGCATGAAAGAGTTTGGGAAAAGGTTACGTTCCATGCATATTTATAATTACGTGTAGCCCGTAGGATTGATTTGATGACCGGGAAATGTCAAATTATACATGGGTAATAATTTACCAACTAAAACGGAGTAATTTTCAATAAAATTGTACCCAAGTACTACTATTCAATATCCACATGACATTATTCAAATAAATGTCTACTACTACTAGACATAGTCTAAAGTAAATGTTCATTGTCACTGAATATTATTTACATACTATTTAAGAAATAAAAATTTTTAGGTATCTATATATTCACTGACATAGTTTAAAGTATGTATACATTGTCACTGAATATTATTCAATTACTATTTAGGAAATTAAAATTTTAGGTATTACTTTAAGAAATTTGTACTATTTAGGAAATTTGTACTATTTAGTACAAATTTTACTCTATATAAACGTGCGTGCATGGAGGCATGCAATATTATATCAGATCATATTGCATTGTATGCATTTGTTGTGACCATGTATACATACGTGCGTGCATGTAGTTGAATTCGACCATGGAACATTCTGTCGTGTGTATGTATTTCTTGTGCTGCAAAATTTGAAGCAGGTTTAAGTAAAATTTTGAAATATTTGCATTAAATAGCACTAAAACTTAAGTCATTTCTCTAAATAGTACTTAAATTGTTTTATTCCCTAAATAGCACTTAATAATGTCTATAATGACCAGTAATGACAAACATTTACTTGAATAATGACTAATGTATACTCCGTAATGACTAAAAGTGCTAAATTAGGAAAAAAAATACATGTAGTGCTATTTAGAGAAATTCATTATGTTTTAGTGTTATTTACGTAAATTTCTCTAAAATTTATTCAATGTATGAGTAATAACCCTAAATAAGATCTGTTATGTTTTTTCTGAAAGTAATATCTGATTAATTAATTAATAGTAGTATCTATTCACTATTTTATCCTCATATATTAAATATGGCCAAATAGCACCAATCTCCCATGTGGTTTAGAAAATAGGCACCAATACTTCCACTGTTTTCAAAACTTATTTCTAAAATCCCCGTAGTTTCAAAACGTTACATCCATACCCTCTCAGATCATTTTCCGGCCACTTTTCCGGTGAAGAGGGGGCATTGGGGCCAATTTTCCAAATCATAGGGGATACTGGTGCTCATTTCTTATTTTTCATTTATTTTTGTTTTTTTCCTTTTCATTTCTTTTAATAATATATCAAAACTTTTTAATTTTCTTTTTGTTTTTATAGTGCTCTTAAAATTTTAAATTACTTTTGTTTGAAAAAAGAACATATGCTACATCTGTACGTCTTAAATTAAGAATTTTTATTTTCTAAAGTACTCCCTCCATTCCCTTAAAAAGTTCATGTTTTGACTTTTAGCCAAATTAAGAAAAGTGTAATTTTGGTTGACTTTCTAATTTTGCTCTGATGTGATGAGTAAAAGTAGGATTTGATAGTTTGGTTATTAGTGAAAAAGTATGATGTGATATGTAGGGTATGAAAAAGTAGGGGTAAAAGTGGTTTTTTAATAGAAAATTGAAGTGTTTTAGGGAATTGGAAAAAAATGAAAGGAGAAGAGTTTTAAGGAACATAGGGAGTAGAAAATTAAAAACTTGTTTTGAGACCTTCAAAACATTAGGAATAAAACACGAAATACAATAAAATAAAATTAAAAATGAATATCCTTGTTGAACACCCAAATTCTAAGGACTTTTTAGGCATTTTAAAATTCTTTTTTGTATAAGACTCTTTTTTTAGATGTTTCAATTTTTTCATTTCCTTTTTTCATATTTTTATTTTTATTTTTATTTTTTTATTTATAATTTTCTTTTATGGACGAAGGGAGTAAATTAAATCATTGTTAACAGCGAGGGGGAACCCAGGCAACTCATGTTGTAATGTTCAATGATCTTTTGGTCAATTCCCTGTTTTGGAGTGTCCATTCAAGAAGTAACCCCCACTCACAATGGTGCAGTGCAATTCCAGTAAAAGAAATTTCCCTTTGAACACTTATGGAGAGAAAATTGTAAGTTCCATCATGTATGATTTGTATGAGTTAGCATTATTTTTGACAACACACAACCACTAGAGTAGAATAGCGGTAGGTATCCTTGTTTTAGTAGAATTGGTCATTATCCTACACAAGCAAACCTATAGTAACAAGGACGCTACCTACTCCCTTGCTCCTTAGAGGATGGACACTGGAGATAGGAGAGCTCACTGGACTCCCTTGATCCTTAGAGGATGTAGGATCCCTAGACAGTGGACAACGGACATCTCATTGGATTCCCTTGCTCTTTAAAGGACGGAGGATCTCAGGACAGTGGATGGCGGACAACTCACTGAACTCCCTTGCTCCTTAGAGGATGAATGATTTTTGAACAATGGACGACAGACAGCTTACCGGACTCCCTTCGCCTCTGTTCTTCTTCTTCGTTGTCTGATTCGTGTGATTTGTCTAATTAAACGAGGCGAGTACGTGGGCATGTAACGCTAGATTACGTATATAGGTTTGAAATTCACGTTCTTAGTTTCGTGTAATTGATTATGTTATTTGTTTGTTCTATCATAAATTATGTTTTATTAAAATTATATGTTATTATTGAAATTGATTGAACGGGGACGACCACGTACATTTTCTTACTTTGAAATTGTGTGATTTGCATGATAATAATCTTTAAAACATTATACGTACTGAATGGTTTGGAATTGGATCGAACTCTGTTGTTTTCGTATTTTCCTGACGTTAGACGATAGCTAGGTACCGCCTCACGATCCCCTGCCACCGCCATAAATCATCGTGAGTCGTTTGACTGGTTGGAAATGTTTTCACATTTTTTTGCTAATAACAATGCTTGTTTCCATTGAGTTTGCCGGTACCTCTGCCCGGAAGATAGGGGTACCGGACCGACGGTACCAAGGTACCACCTAGAGGTACCAAGGTATCGTGTCCAGCACTGTGCAATCCCATTTTACTTATTTGTTGTTCCAATCAAGTCCCGGACCAACTTAAAGACCTTATGTGTTGCACGACATTATATGGAAGGTGTTTACACCTGGCACTAAGCCTCTAATTGAGTAACTTCTTTGTTATAATTAAATATAATTCTGTTGTGTTTTGAAAGTAAATAACAAATTAAAATTGTTATTGGAATAAGTCTGAATTGTAGAGATGCTGTAAATAAATGAGTAGGCTATCCAAAGGAACTCTAGGAATGCTTTAGCAAGATTATAAGTGTAAATGTCAATAGGTAGAATTAGTCTTGTGGATCTGATATCTGGCGGCTGCGGGTTAAAACGTACGTACGAGATCCATAAACTGATGTTCCGAATGGGACAGGGGTACCACCCACCCAGTGGAGAACTCCTTCGTTAGTCAGGTCGTGTTGTATTGTAATGTAATAAATAAGGTAGACTTGAGTCATGACCGTAGGTAGTGGCTCTAAGTCCGAAGATAAGGTTGTGAATAAGGATATATGGTCTTAGCTTGGTACTTAAGTTATGAGCTATAGATAAAGACGAATACGGTAATGACTTGTTGCTTGTGAATTTATGTAATGACTGTTATGTGATGTTATTAATGTTGTACTTGTGTGCATGATATTGTATAAATTTATGAGCTAGTGGGTTCGTCTATATGTGCATAGTAGAAATCTTAAATATTTCTCATTTAGCTTCAATGTTGAGCGTGTAACTCTTTTTTCCTATTTGCTACACGTAGATAACAGGAACGATGAATGAGGGAACAATCCTTGAGGGCGAAGAGATGGATGGATGCTGACTGGAGTAGTCATCTGGTTTAATATTTAACTTTGAATTTATTATGTTTTAAGAGCAAGAACTCAAGTTGTATTTTGAATTAACTATTAAAAGCTTCTGCACCGTTTTATAATACTTCGATGGATATTTAAATATTATTTTTAAATTAAATGTTTTAAATTGTTTTGAAAATTATTGTGTTTCGATGCCAATTTAGTTGCAACTCAGTTCGCTAACTCGCGGAGTCGGGTTACGCGGGTTTGGGTGTTACAACAACAACTCAACAACCCCGAGGCCAGATCGCCAATGAAAAGATCCTCTGCTGAGGTTGAGGCTAATGACACTATCCGTTCGTCAGAACAAAGGCCTCCCTTCAACCTAGATGACTCTGATGACGAGGATCCCATTCCACGGCCAATTGGAAGAAAGAAGGCAAAATCCATTGCGTTGGGTTCTGCAAGCTCCTACTTTGTTTCTTCTCACGGTGATATCGGCCGGGGAATGGTTGAACAAGTTCGGGTGTTCAATATTAGGGATGAAAAGAAGGAGAAACGAAGGCAAGAAAAGGAGGAGTCGGAAATAATAAAAACAGACCTTGATGTGTTAATGGACTTCAAACATATGTATTACAAGAAAAGACAAAACTAGATCAAAGTTAAATATAATTCGCTTTAGTTTCTTTAATTAATGTATTTTTTTAATTAACTATTCTTTTTTATTTAATGTAGTTTTTTATTTAATGAATTATTATCGTTTAAATTTAATTAATTAATGAAGTTTTATTAATTTAACTTTAAAAAATATATATTAAAAAATTAAAGAATACAAATTTGAAGGGCAAGTTTGAAACCTTAAAACTTCAAACCCATTTTGAATAAAATTTTAGTGGTAAGATAAACAAAATGATAGTGGATGGCATTTCTAGTGCTCTAGAGTTCAGCAAAAGAACACTAGATCATTGAGTCATAGAGTAATAGATTTCCTCCAATGTTCTACTGTACTTTCCATACTTTCTACAGTTACGATTTTGGTTTTGATCCACTTCTTTTTTACCACAACAGAATCAAATGGGATATCCGAACATGACATGTGGGGGACCAATCCCCAACCCATTTCTTTCCATCAACAGTTCTCGCCGTCTTAGCAAATCCCCACCGCGTCCTCGGCAGTAGCCGCCGCCGCCACAACCACCTTATCACAGCCACCGTCTAACCCGAAGTTTTCTTCTCCTACGAGGCTTGATGGCGAGGCTTGTAGTGGAGGTTCTGGAAGCCAGCGATCTGATGCCCAAAGACGGGCAGGGCTCCGCAGATCCGTATGTAGAAGTTGAATTTGACGGGCAGCGGAAGAAGACACAGACGAGGAGCAAGGATCTCTGCCCGCGGTGGAACGAGAAGCTGGTTTTCAACATCCAGAACCCCTCCCCTGGCTTGGGTGCCGAGAACATTGATGTGTACGTCTACAGTGAAGGAAAAAATGGCCACAACCCCAAGTTTCTGGGCAGGGTTGAGATTTCTGGCATCTCTGTTCCCTTTTCGGAGTCGGAAGCAGAAATCCAGACATACCCACTTGATAAAAGGAGCATTTTCTCTCATATTAAGGGCGAAATCGCCTTGAGAGTCTATGCTTTGCTGGGTCTAGGGGATGATATGAATCCTGACCAAGATTTGGATGTCGAGAACGAACCGCTGTTGAGCACCGGGGGTGACACCATCGAAACCAGAGATGTTCCTGTCCCTGTCCCTGTCCCTTCACCGCCACTGCAAGAATTCAAAACCAATTTGTGCCCAGACGAGACTGAAATCGAGAAGAAGGAGGAGAAGAAGAAGAAGAAAAAGGAGCCACAAGTGAGGACATTCTACTCCGTCGGTAGAGATAGGGGTCCTCCCCCTCCCACTCCCACTCCCACTCCCACTCCCACTCCCCCTCCTCCTCCGCTTGAAAAGCCTGTAATGGTCGAGCCCCGTGTTGATTTCATGAGAGCCGGACCGATGCCACCAGGATTAGTTCATCAAATGCAAGTGCCTCCGGGTCAGAGGCAGGAATTCGGGTTGGTTGAGACCAAACCCCCAGTGGCCGCGAGAATGGGGTATTGGGGGAAGGATAAGACCGCGACCACGTATGATTTGGTTGAACAGATGTACTTCCTGTACATACATGTGGTGAAGGCCAGAGATTTGCCCGTGATGGACCTCACCGGGAGTCTCGACCCCTACGTCGAACTCAGGGTGGGGAATTACAGGGCCACCACGAGGCACTTCGAGAAGAACCAGAACCCGGTGTGGAATGACACTTTTGCTTTTGCCAAGGAGAACATGCAGTCTCATATCATTGAGGTCACTGTGAAGGATAAAGACTTCATGAAGGATGATTTTGTTGGGAAGGTTGTGTTTGATATTATGGAAATTCCTCTCAGGGTTCCCCCCGACAGTCCCTTGGCTCCTCAATGGTACAGACTGGTGGGTAAGAGGGGGGAGCGGGTGTATCAGGGGGAGATCATGCTTGCGGTTTGGATGGGAACACAAGCAGATGAGGTCTTTCCGGATGCTCTACATTCTGATGCTTATGGCATCAGCCCGCACAGCCTGGCTAATACGCGATCAAAGGTATATTTCTCTCCCAGATTGTTTTATCTGAGGGTACAAGTCATCGGAGCTCAGGATCTGATCCCTGCAGATAAAGGGCGAATGCCAGAGGCGTTTGTAAAGGTACAACTGGGTCATCAGTGGAGGGTCACTAGACCCTCTCAGAGACAGGTTAATCCGATGTGGAACGAGGAGATCATACTTGTGGCTTCCGAGCCTTTAGACGAGTTCCTTACAATAGATGTTGTTGATAGAGTTGGACCCGGTAAAGATGAAGTGATTGGGAGAATGATGATACCCGTGAGGGAGATCCCGCCAAGGGCGGGAGAAACGACTAAACTCCCTCCTCCCAAGTGGTTCAACCTCAGGCCTTTTCTAGGAGGAGGAGGAGGTGAAGATGATAAGAAGAAAGAGATGAGGTTCTCAAGCAAAATCCACCTCCTCCTATGCATGGATGTTGGTTACCACGTTCTTGACGAGTCGACTCATTTTAGCAGCGATCTCCAGCCTTCCTCCAAGCTCATGAGGAAGCCTGGCATTGGAATTCTTGAACTAGGCATTCTGAATGCCCAGAATCTGCATCCGATGAAGGGCGGGAAAGATGGCAGGCTCACGGATGCGTATTGTGTGGCCAAGTACGGGAACAAATGGGTGCGGACAAGGACGGTGCTCAACAACCTGAATCCCCGGTGGAACGAGCAGTACACGTGGGAAGTGTTCGACCCGTGCACGGTCATAACGATCGGTGTCTTTGACAATTGCCAGATCAACGGGAGAGAGGATCCGAGAGACCAGAGGATCGGCAAGGTGAGAATCCGGCTCTCCACCCTGGAGACCGACCGGATATATACCCATTTTTACCCCTTGCTAGTCCTCCAACCCCCGACCGGTTTGAAGAAACACGGCGAACTCCATCTGGCGGTAAGGTTCACTTGCACCGCTTGGGTGAACATGGTGACGCAGTACGGAAGACCGTTGCTTCCCAAGATGCATTACCTGCAACCCATCTCGGTACGCCACATCGATTGGCTTCGCCACCAGGCGATAGGTCTGGTGAGTGAGAGGCTGGGCAGGGCGGAGCCGCCTCTGAGAAGGGAGGTTGTGGAGTACATGTTGGATTCCAACTACAATTCCTTTAGCCTGAGGAGGAGCAAGGCCAACTTCTTCCGCATGATGTCCCTACTCAACGGCATCTCCGCCGCGTGTAGATGGTACCACGGGATTTGCTACTGGAGAAACCCGTTCACGACCATCCTCGTCCACGTGCTCTTCCTGATTCTAGTCTGCTACCCGGAGCTCATCCTCCCAACCGTCTTCCTCTACTTGTTCGTCATCGGGTTGTGGAACTACCGGTTCCGGCCGAGGAACCCTCCGGCGATGGACGCACGGATGTCGCTGGCGGACGCCACTCACCCGGACGAATTGGACGAGGAGTTCGACACGTTCCCATCGTGCAGGCCGATGGAGGTGGTGGGGATGCGGTACGACAGGCTGCGGGTTGTGTCGGGGAAGGTGCAGTGCGTGATGGGGGATTTGGCTACTCAGGGGGAGAGAGCTCTGGCGATTTTGAACTGGAGGGATCCCAGGGCCACCGCCATATTCATCATCTTCGCGTTGATTTTCGCGGTGGTTCTTTATGTCACTCCGTTTCAAGTCATTGCGCTCCTCGCCGGCCTCTACTCGCTCCGCCACCCGCGCTTTAGGAGCCGCCTCCCGTCCGTTCCCGTCAACTTCTTCAAGAGGTTGCCCTCGAAATCTGACCAGCTTTTGTGAAGCAAGAAAAGAAAATCTGGTTGTAATTAATTAATTAATTAAATTGCCTATGGAAGGAACGAATCCCTTGCTGTACTATTATTATTGTTATTAGTGTTCTACTTTAAGCCTGTAACGTATATGGATTTGTATTAGTAAATGAGGAGTGGAATAAAAACGGTGCGTGGCAGCAGCATAAACATCTTTATTCTCCAGATTTTATTCCAAGAAAGTATTATTAACTTCATTACTTGGTTTATTATACTCCGTAATTAAGTCTTGAAATGAATGAATTTTTAAAGCCTTCAACTAGGGATGACAATTTTATCCGAATCCGACTTTTTCCGACCCGACCGAAGTATATAATATCCGAATCCAACCGAAAAAACTAATATTCGAAACCAACCCGAAGATTTCAAAACCGAACCCGACTTTTGTCGGATCGGTTTTCGGTAATTAAATTTGACCGACCCCACCCGTACCCGACCGACCCGATAAATAACCCGAAATAAAAGGCTTTTTTAAAATATAAAAATACCTTTTTCAATTAAAAGTCCAAAGCTACATACAGGGAGTTGCGGAGATTTACGACTGTTCCCGTTCTAGAACCCCCTAGTCCCTATCTCCTCTCGGTTTCTCGTATCCACAGGCAGTCGGCAGCCCTCCTACCGGCGAACACATCGGCGAATCCGGCGATTCTTCTCATTCTCCATCGGCGAACTCTCTCTTCCTGCGAACACATCGGTGAATCTCCATCGGCGAATCTGGCGATTCTTCTCAATCTCGATCAGCGAACTCTCTCTTCCTGCGAACACATCGGCGAATCTCCAACGGGTCAGGTCGGTCGGTCGGTTTTCAGGTCGGGTTAGGCTTAGGTTTTTGTCAAATTCTCGGGTTCGATTGCGGTTTCGGGTTTCAGTTTAGGCAGTCGGGTTCGGGTTCGGTTAGGAATTTATACCCGACGGTTCGGGTTCAGGCAAAAAAAATATCCGATCAAAATTTCGGGTCGGTTTCGGGTAAAGGTATATCCGAACCAAACCCGACCCGTTGCCATCTCTACCTTCAACTTAAGGTTCAATATAAATTAATTAAGTAATTAACTATTACTTTAATGACCAAAAATACCCCTTTTATAATGTCATACTCCCTCACACCTTGTCACTATCCTACAGTCCATGTCCCCGTGTCCATTGCCGATGTCACAATCTCCACCCTGCCGATTTGCCATTACACCTTGCCACCACCCCACCACCGCCAATGTCACAATGTCCACCTTGCCGATGCCCACATCAAATTAGACCACGGACGTTTTAACCCAACTAAAGTTGGAACAAAACAAGTACGGGAAGGGTGGTTCCATCACGGAGAGGGGTAGAACTGTAAGAGAGCAGTGTCTGGGAAGGGTGGTTCCATCACGCCCGAAGACGTTAACAAGAAAATATCAAACAAATACTCCGGGGCACTAGGCTAAAACGTACATGCAACCAATTCCATGAATGCAAAACATGAACAAATACTCACAAGCTTCCACTAGGTATAGAGTCCATAGTTACAAAAACTTAACTTTCTCTGGGACTAGTACAAAATCACTATAACATATCTGCCAGTAACAACTAACAACGCCTTCTCTCAGGGCATACTATTAGTTAGACACCACTGCATTGGAGTATACTGCCTTGGTGGGGTTAACCATAGAGAAAAAAAATCCATAATCTCAAAAGGTCAGTACTGTTTAGGGTGGGTGGAAGAGAAATTTAAAAAAAAAAAGACTTGGTTATCTCCACGTTAGAAACCCATGCCATTTTTTACCGTTTAAAAACTTTCAAAGTCTTTTTCTTTCTGTTCCTCATTAACATGGCAGTCCTTTCAGATTTCCATTTTCTATACTTTTTCCTATCGTTTAGCCAGACTGCATAATCCTTCCCTGGCTTGCAGGCAACAAAATCAGCCAACTCATCATAATCAGATGTGTTGTGTGTGCTGTATTGCATGGTTTTGAGATAGCTCTCACCATTGAGTGTTGTTTCTTCTTCAATGCTCACTCTATTATCTTCGCTGTCAGGAAAATGGTAAACATTTGAGGAATTCTCTGCAAACCCTTCTTCTTCCTCCTCCTTGCTACCAAAACATTTCGCCACAGTCTTTGATTTCCTGACAAAAAGCTCAAACACAGATGGAATAATCAACAAAAACAAATCGATAATAACCAAGAAACTTGTTACAGATAACACAAAATAAAAGTTAACATGCTTCACAAATATTTTCTGTGATAACAAATTCTAAGAGTCTAAAGCCATGCACACAACCATGATCATGAAATGAATGCCCCCCCATCTTCGAAGACTACTTTATAGCAGGAGACAATGAACTACTAAACTGGGCATGACTATATAGTACTCCGTTTGTCCGGATTTGGTTGTCCATTTCCTATGATATCTTATTTCGAAAAGGCAAGTATAAAATATCAAAATAAGTCCTCTAAATAAAATACTCGTTAATTGATGTCAACTATGCTATTATGATATTTAGAAGGTAATGGTATGTTAGACAATGAATCATAGTTTTTTTTACTTAATGCAAAAAGTGGGCAACTAATTCTGACACACAAAAATGAGGAAGTGGACAGAGTAAATACTTAGGCCTCTGCAAGCAAACGTGTAACTTCAGCTTTTTGACGCAATATACAACAATACAGAGATGATGTATATCTTTAGAACTGAAATAAGGAGTCGCATAGCTAGTCTAGGGAAACAGTACAATTGCAGGTGTGCCTGATTATTTCATTTAGGCGCAAATGTTCAATGGCTTTAGGCATGATCATTCCAACACACACACATGTGCGCTTGTAGATAAATCAAAGTAGAAGAAAAGGTACCACAACAGAAACAATAAAGAGGTAATTGTTCCACTGTCAAGGAAATACTACTACAATCTCAATAGAAATGCGTATATTGTGTTCAAACCTCAAGTGAAGATTCTGCATGTTTTGAAATTTTGATGCAACTTTAATACTTGGCCTCTGGTTCACAAGTGCCTGAATCACAATTGTTCAAAAAGTTAAATAACAATGATCACTAGTTTTAAAGAAAAGGTAGATATACTCTCGCTCTCGCCGCTTGGACTCTCACCAGAGGTAATGCAGAGGAAACAGAGTATGGACCAGATACAACCAGTGACCTCAACTCATCTAAATAGCCATCTTCCAGCACAAAGAGATTCAGCACAGCAGTGATAGTTAGCAAGCAACCTTTTGCTAAGTAATCAAACCTGTTTAGAAAACTAAATGCAAGCAAGCCTGAAAAATGCACAAGCATCATCATGAAGTCCTTATGCTTGATGGAATTTGTCTCCATTATGCCAAACAAAAACTCTTGGACTGGAAAGTGCAATTGGCATTTGCTAAAACAGCTACTCGCACACACAATAGACATGTACTCCTTACACAATGAGTAGTCTTTCAATGTTTTGAAAGAGCCACAACTTTCTTTGTTTCTGAGACATGATATAGCATGCAGCAAAGAAATGCTCATTAACTTCAACACAGCAACTAGGAGACATATGTCTTGCAGACTTATATCCCTGATTGCAGGCATTCTGGTTTCATCAAAGCTCTCTGATGCTCTTACTATCAGGCAATTTACAATTGAGAATACATCAGGTCGGCACAATTGGTCCAAAAGACATTGACACTCCTTTACATATGCTATACATGAACTTGCCAAGTCAGATTTCAGTGCAAAGAAATGGTTGCATAAAAATGAATCTGATGAACCTTCTAACCTTGTAATCAGAGAGTTTATCTTCTCCAGTGTGCTTGGCATTATATAGGATGCAAAAGGCAGAGGACAGTAGCCTCCATGCGTGTGGGGCTCAACAAATGAAGCACAAATACTTAGAGGATGGCCTTTCGTCCATACACAGGACATATGTTTCATGTACATATCCATGGACTTTTCAAACACTGAGATACAGTAGTTGAGAAGTTTACAGTTCAGTTTCAATTTTGGAATATCCATCACACTACTCATGGCTTCATAAACTGATGAAACCAGATGTGCTTGCACAATATTTGGGGCAGAAAAAAACATGGGATGGAGGAGAAGTGATATTGCCCCAGTCAGACTCATCCCTTGAGCTTTAAAGAATTCAAAATCCTTATTGCGTGCACAGAAAAGTCTGTCCAGAAAAGCTTCAATTGCATCTTCACGAGAAAACGATAGGAGAAAGCAAGTGGAAACAAGTTCTGCCAAAATTCCAATATCACACTGGCGCTTCTTTGAACTAATACCTTTGTCAGTAGGCTGAGGCATAAATAAAGGTTCACTAGGATATGTAATTTGCCCAATCCGCTTAAATATCGCTTTCAATCTTCCATGAACAAGAAGCTCATCTAGAAATACCTGAGTATACAAATGGCCCTGTTACTTAAGAACGTCTCCCGTGCAGAGTTCTCGGCTATTATGTTTGATGAGTGAGGTAAAATTAATGCATGTGCTCATAGATAACTCAGAAGCATATCTGAAGGCGTGTTTTGATTTGAAGACATGAGAGAGGAGGGAAAATGCTCGCCTCACTCATTTGTTTATGAAATTCAGGAAGAGGAGCCAATGTTTTCCCCTCCCCTTTCCTCAAACAAAGTAACAACAAAAACACTCTTCCCCTTCCTCCTGCCCCATTAATCAAGCACACACCCTTACTCTGAATCTCCATAACATATTCACCGAGTTCTTAGAAAGTGATCCGTGAATAGATGGTTCAAATAAATAATATACATTATACTCTCTCCGTCCCCAAAATCGGAGTTACGAGGCAAAACTCCATGTTTTTTGAAATTATTTTATTTACAAATTGGTATAGAAATTAAAAAATACAACTTATATATTAAAAACTACGTCAAAATTTTCTACAAAACAAAAGGTGACAAGAATATTTTATTTTACCAAATAATCAATGAAAACACAAATAAACAAAAGTTATCAACAGGTTGGAGTAAAAAAACCAAATTTGTAATCAATTGTGAGGAGGGAATAAAAAACATTATATGGATTTAGATGATTAATTAAACCTTGATTCTTGGAAAAGAATAGAAACAGAACTTGGATTTGAGAACACTAAAATAAGTAAACTGGACAACGATGATATTGCATACTTGTTTGAGCAAGCAAAATATGACAAGTTAATAAGAGCATGAACCTTGGAAATCTAGATGAGGTTCAATACCTCCAATATCTATGGAATCAAATGCATGCAACTTGTTTGAGGTTTTACAGTTTTGTATTGGGAGTTGGGACCCCCCCCCACACACACACACGCTGGTACATGTTACAACACTATAAAAGGATGAACAATGCAGTAAGTGGTATTGGCCTCATCTTTCTGACAAGTATAACCTAATGCAGTATCTTCTGTTCATTAGCATCATTAGATGCTGATTTTGTCATCTCACTTGAGATTTTTATTACACTATGACCAAGAATATACATACTACCTCCGTCCCAAAACTGCCATTTAGACTTCCCAGTGGTTTACAAAAAATAATTGTATTCTTCTAAATTTCCATATGGGTTCGCAAAAAATGGTTGTGGGATAAGAAGAGGAGGGTATGTTAAGCAAAAAGTAATTTTATTAGAAAAGTAAGGGAAGTAAGAAAGTGTGGGTGGTTAGAAAAAGGTATACAAGGGTAGTGTAGACTTTTCAGTTAAGTTTGTTGCCACAAAAGGAAGTTTAAACTTTATTTTGAGACAGCGCGGAATGGAATGTGTAGAGGGTGTATATCACACAATAGACTTCCTTGTCCATCATTGGAAATTCAACAAAAAAAGTGTAAAAGCATATATACCTCCAACAAAGCAATAGCAAATGAAGTTTGAAGATCAAGGGGCTCGCAGAAATGAATTGAAACAGCAAGTTCCTCACTTGATGTAGTTGTGAAGTCATCATTATCATGAAGGCATGGATGAAAAAGTGATTTCGGAAAACTAATTCCTTTCCTTTCCTTTTCTGATGGCATGTTTAGGGAACATAACTTCAAAAGTATCTTTAAAAGAACCCCACCCTTTTCCAAAACAAGGTTTTGGTTGAGTATGGGCAAGACCAAGATAACCATACTACACCTTAACAGTAAAAATAGAACTTCAACTGTGCAATTCACATGTATGGTATTTTGGCCATGATCCTTACTTACAGAAATATCATATACAGGAGATATAATATTGTCAAACATCACTGATAGTTCTTTGAATATAAAGTCACAAACAGCTTGTAGATCATTTTCATCAACTCTGTTCTGAGGACCTGTGGACAGATGGAAGAGTAAACAATACAAACTTTTCAAGACAGGTGCTTTCATACCCTGCAGTTGTACACAAAATTGAAAAGCTAGTTTCAACTTAATTTTGAATCTCCATTGTCAAATATCACATTTCACATTTTAAAGGCCAAGTAAATCTAATATCTTGGCACTACATTTGTATATGCAAACATAAGCCATCACACTTTACATAATATTGCAAATATATATATTTTTTATCATGAATGTATGAGCGAATGTTCGTTAGGAATTTAGGATTTGGAGATTAAAATATTAGAATTGTTAAAAAAAAGTACTTTTAAGAAGGGTACATGACAGCACTTATTGGACCCTATTTAGTTATAAATTGTGAAATGTGAACAAAGAATATAACTTTAACAGCCCGACTACTCAAATGGGTTTACATGCACATCCAAAAAAAATCCTTAAAGCTCATTTCTATAATACAAAGCAGTGATCGAGTTTCACCAAGAAATAAAAAGAAAACGTAATGATGGATAAGTAACTGACCCCGGGAGTTGTGATGGCGGAGAGCAGCTTCCGGAGGGTTGGAGAGAGATTTGATTGCATAGGGGAATTAGGTTTTTCTCTCTGAGAATCGATGCAGATCTTCTTCCGTGGCCTTCTCGGTGCCATTACCTCAAATTTGTGATGCTATTCAGTTGCACTGGTACTACTACCTCACTGAAGTTCCTCTCCGTAAAGTAAGCAACTAAAGTTTCTTGAATTCAGTTCAAGAAAAGGAGTGCAACTGTTTTGGACCAAATACAAAAAAATAAGACTTTCGACTTTGATTTAATTATTTTACATGACCTTAGACTTCGATTTAATTATTTTTCATTTAATTTATAACCATAAAGTTTTGTCCGGCGTCAGAAGGCCGTCATGGAATGCCTTCAACAACTGCACGCACAGTATTTCTTTACCGTCATCCTCATTGAGGGGCTAGGGGCCTAGGGCAGCACATGTCTCAAATCGAATATAGGGTGATTCTTAAATAACGCCTAATGATCCCGTTGTTCTCAGTGGACAAGCCTTGTCCTGTGTGTCATAAAGTCGTCTTGGACAAGTTTGGGGAGCATGTGGTGCACCGCAAAGAACTCCCCGAATTTAAGTACACACACGACTTGCTGTAGGATGTGTTGTGTGATGTCCTTCGGAGGGCGGGAATTTCACCGATAAAGAAAGCTCCAACAAAATCCCTACATGCCATGCTGAGGGGAGGTCCTCCCTACGGCCCGCTGATTTTTGGATGGGCTGTGGGGAAACATGCTTGTTGGACCTCAATGGTGTGTCCCCCCTTATGGATCTTTGGGGTAATGGTTTTACGGTTGGGCAAGCTGATTTGAATGCTAAGATAAGAAAGTTGACAAACATGATAAAGCCTGCTTCGAGAATCAACACGTGTTTGTTCTTTTTGCATTTGACATTTTTGGTTCCTTAGCCCCTGAAGCTATGTGTTTCTTGGATCGGGTTCTTAAGCTTCTTCGCAACAATATATCAGCTTTGAATGGTCACGAATATGTTTTCAGTAGAATAGGATTTGCTATCCAGAAAAGGGTGGCGGCGCAGCTTGTTGCCCGCTTACCTACCACCTTGATGTAAATCCGTGTTAGATTATTTAGATTTAGCTTTGATTTGAATTAAGAAAAATGACAACCTATTCGTTAATTGACATGATCGGACTCATTTTTTTAAAAAAAAGTTAAAAACTAGTATTACACTCGTGCGTTGCACGAGTTATATTTACGTTACTAAATTAAGGTCATTTTTCAATGCTAAAAATGATATCTAATAAAATATAGACATTATAGTATTTTAAGGTACAATTTTTTTTTCAATTTATAAATTTTGAAATACTTTTTTATAAACAACTTTATTCGTATAACTTGTGGGAGGAATATTATCTTCGTTGCATATCAGAATCTTCAACTCACTACGATTTGTTACTCTTGATACTGTAACATACAGTTATCCATGACAAAATGCTAGTTTCCTAACAATAAATCAACATGTTTCAGTGGTTGCCTCTGACTCTTGTTAATCGTCATTGCATACGAAGTAACCACAGTTGTCTTCTTTGAAACTTGAATGAAATTTTTGTATGGGATAGTGTCAAAGATAGTCTTGGAATAATGACTTCTTCACCCATATGACTTTTAGATAATATCTTTCCTTGTATTGAGTGATAAGCTAACTAGGTTACTATTAACCGTTTACCATTACATAAACCCATTAAATGATCCATATATCTCAGCAACCTTCAAAATTAACTCATGATTTGGCACACCAGAAGAACGAATCTTATTTAAGAATTTGAGGCCAGAATAAGTTCTCATCTGATCTGATCCGGTCTGATCCAAATGTAGTTATATTTAAAGTTATTCCTAATCTGATCTGATCTAATTCCACTAAGAACAAATAATAAATAAAAAATTAAGTTGAGGAGAACATAACCTTAGTCCTAATATCAGGGTACAATATTTTCCGTACATTTGCATTAATACTCATTTTTGACTGACAGAAAACACATTTCTAATATTTATTTATTTTAGTATATGTTCAAAATATTTAAATTACAAAATATGTGTTTTCATTTTAGAACTACATAATGTTCATTACGTTCATACAAAATGTACATTTACGAGTAACACAATATTCATTCCAATTAAAATGAAGACAGATATACAACTAAAATAAAGAAATACACGAAATGCGCATTCAGTTACTCATAAAAGAGTTCATTCGCCGTGAATCTACGGAAAACATCGTACATTCAGATGTACCACATATATTGCCATATTTTTAAGCCCATATTTACGAGCAAAGAATATTATTGAAGGCTACTACATTATACAACATTTTACAGGTAGAAATACAATCATGTATATTCTCAATTAGCATAAGAGGAGATAGATGGAGCTGATTGAGCATGAACATTGCAGCAAATCTTTTGTTCTAGTTGTAAACATGAAAGCCATGCACAATAGTTTGGACATGGAAAAGAAAATAGTGGATCTCAGACGATTGTATCCGAGATGCAAAACTTCAAATTATTGCCTATTTACTTGGGGGAAATCATCGGCGATATCTTCCTCTATTGCTCATTCATTGAGCATGTGCATTTCTTCTGGTGCTCAGTCAGTTCCTGTGATGCATTAGGTTTCATTCAGGGAACTCTAACCACACTTCAACCATGAAAAAATTATAAAATCTGATGCCTTCTTATGGTACAAAAAGTTCGGTTTTTTTTTCCTTTCGCAAGGGGAATGGGGTGTACACTAGGATTTGGACCTATGTTTCAACGTATAAAACACACCCAACAACCTCAGCTAGCCCCGAGTATATACAAGTTTGGATAAAAACTAAATTAACAAATTCTTGAGTTGCTTGAACTACCTGAATCTGTGTCTGTAGAAATTTGACATATTCTACCGCTTCTTCTAACATGTCAGCTGTATTAGTTTGCTGAGTGGCATCAAAGTCAAAGAGTCAGGAACTATTAGTAACCCGAAAACTGAAAATAAAACATATTGGAAGCAGATAAACTCAACCATTCTTCATCACAGCGTATACATTTAGCTAATAGTCTAACATAAATAATAGTGATGCACACAGGAAAGTAGGTTCAAGTCATATTCCATAGAGTCTGACATGAAGAAATCAAATATAGCCAGAATGTCCAACTCAACCACAATCCACCAAAAAAGTAGTAGCATTAAACTTCATTGGAACACTACAGATAAATCAAATTTCATTAGAAAAAATTGTGTTTTGATTCAATAAATCAACTCCTGGAATAACTGATTACTATGCCTTGTGGAAGCAAGGGAAGCATAGTCATATGTAAATTTGAAATGCAGCATTCTGCGCATAATGCCTAAAATGAAAGATACAAACCAAAGGTAGTACTTTCTAGCAGTCTAGCACAGTCTGTGCTATAAATGTATAAAATTTATTCACTAATACTAAATTCAGCATCACAAGATCAAATTGGATACAAATAAATTACATTGATTTGCTGTAGTTGTTTATGTAAATAGAATCACACACAGGAAGAGGGAGGCTGAAGAAAGATGGAGCATTAATGAAGACACATTTATAGTTGAAAACTTGAAATAAATCCCCCCAAAAATTAGAAGTTTTTAATTACCTTATCCATATTAGGCACAAGCTCCTGAAGCTTCCTTATCCGGTCACTTATTCGTGTTCTTCTTACCTGTTTCCAAATTAAATGAAAGAATAAACATTAAAAAGTTGATTGTGAAATACATAACTGATCATTTTGGAACAAGCCTTGTAGTTATCCGACATCGGCTAAGTATAAATGAATGAACCCCATAAAAGTATGCGGTAAACCTCACCTCTTGAGAGCTCATTGATACCATGTTAAGAATAAGTGTTAGGCCTAAGTCACCCAAAAAGTGCTCTCAAGAGGTGAGGTTTACCTCATACTTATTAAGGGGTTCATTTATTTATATATAGCCGATGTCGGATAACTCCAACACAATGTGTCTATTACACACCAATGTTCACTGAAAAGTTACAGCTATCTTCTTTTCATGTACAATTAAGTACTGGAATTTAAATTTTCCCCCATTCACAACTTCAAAAAGTTTTTATCATGACTCAGTAGAGAAGGGAAAGAGAGAGCCTAAGAAAAAAGCAATACCCTCTCTGCTATGCTTCGCGGATGAGTAGCACAACCACGCTTTGCTCGAACCCTACATGGAACTAAATCGTCCATCATTTTCTCCATTTCCGCATCCAAAGACCCACCAGCACTGCATAAACGCCTACTATGTTCTCCTTTCTTAAAGGCAGAGAAGTGATTCAAAAATAAAACAAAAAAAAGCATCAATGAATAACTCAAGGAATCATATGGATAACACGCTAACCTGAACTAAACAGTTGTCCATCTCTAGGTTTACTGTAAATGACTATAGATAAAGGGTGTGGAAAAATATAACGCAGAAAACATTCTTTTTCTGGTGTAAAAAAATATAACGCAGAAAACATTCTTTTTCCAACCCTCCATGCTATAACAAACCGCTCCCTCTCAACTCCTCTCCAATGGATTCAGAAAAATAGGTGTAAGAACATAAAAGCAATGAAAAGTATAAAACGTATGAACTTATGGTCATGGCTAAACATTACCTAACTTATAATCTTCCATGTTTAAGAAGAGAACTCAAGCACAAAAGTTTTTTGGGCTCACAAAACTGAAACTTTTTCAGAAGAGCCATTCATCAATAGTCAATACTTAATGTGATTAAGAAAATAGATGTGTATAATAAATACTCTGCGATAGAGAGACCCCAGATTTTTAAGGATGTAATAATGGAATGTTAATTAGTACTTAAAATATGAAAGTTACCACACATTCACGATGCAAGTTTAACCTAACCATTGCAGCCACTAGAGCTTATTTTTAATCGCACGGATTGAATGCTTTGAAATATTTTACGTAGTATTAGAAAGATATGCTTCTGAATGAGAAACCATACAAGGACATAAATCTCCTCTAGGAGCACTAACACAATGTTTTGTTCAAGGAATTCAAAAGGGAAAAGAAAAGATAATGGTAAGAGAAAAAAGCTTTGCGGTTTGGTTAGAAAGGAAAAGAAAAGAAAAGGTAAGGAAAATGTATAATAAAATTGGAAATATGACTTTTCTTCAATTTTTGTGAGGATAAGAAGAGAAAACAACAAATTTCTCCTTCCCCTTCCCTTTCCCCTCCCTCTTCACTCCACCCACCCCACCCTCCATCCTCATCCCGCGCCCCCCACTCCCTACCACCCCGTCTTTGGCAAT